AGAAGAAGAAGAAGAAGAAGAAGAACAAGAAGATGATGATGATGACGAGGATGATGATGATAACGATGTGGATGGTGGTTATTATGAAAATGAAGTGGAACACAAAGAAGACATTTTGACTGTCATAAGGAGTGTTCTGGCAAATCAAGAAGAGAAAATGGAAGAGCATGAGAAGAAAGAGAAGGATCACGATGATGATGACGAAGGAGGTGTTTATAATGATGACGATGACGGTGATGTTAACGTTGATGATGTTGGTGGAAAGGACGATGACGATAATGAAAGTGAACTGGAAGATAAAGAGGACATTTTATCTGTAATCAGGAGAGTTACTGCAATTCTTGAGGGTAGGAAGAAAGAGCAAGATGGCGGGGATGAAGAAGATGACGATGACGACGGCAGTGGTGCTGGTGACAGTGGAGATGATAATTACAGCAGTGGTGCTGGTGACAGTGGAGGTGATGATGATAGTGAGGACGATGGCGGTGATCATGATGGTGGTTGTTGTGATGACGATGACGAAGATGAGTGTGAAGTGGAACACGAAGAGGACATTTTAACTGTCATCAGAAGAGTTCTTGCAAATCAAGAAGAGAAAATGAAGGAGCATGAGGAGGAACAGAAGGAAAAGGACGATGACGATGCTAATGAAGAAGAAAAATGCGACGACGAAGATGATGATGAAGATGATGATAATGACGATAACGATGATAATGGTTATGAAGGGGACTGTGATAGTGACGGTGATGATGCTGACGACGAAGAAGAAGAACAAGACGAAAAACACGTGGAGATTAAAGAAGGGGAACTGAAAGATAAAGCGACGAAGGTTAAGGAAGAGGAAGTGGAAGAGGACAAGGAAACAGAAGAAAGACCGAAGGTCAAGGAAGGGGAACAGGAAGAGGACAAGAGAGAAGAAAACGAAGCGAAGCTTAAGGAATGTGAGGAGGAAGAGGGAGAGGAGATACTGCTAAAAGAACCACCAAAGATTAAGAAAACGCGTGGACGACGCAATATCATAGTAGGGTGGCTATGCAGCAAAATTATTAAGGCCTTTGTTAAAAAGAAGGTTCTTCTGTAACTTGACTTCAGTTTAAATCCAACCCAGTAGACTGTCTGTAATTATGTGTCGTGTAAAGCGGGTCCATTTTGCTGTCAAAAAGACTTTGTTATACAATTTAAAAATGACCTTGTATGGCCACTTTGGAACCAAACCAGTGGACGTTCTGAAGTCCACTCTTTTGTTATTACGATTAAATGTTATCAATTAAGTAGGTCATCGTAGAGAATAAATCAAGTTTTAAATGAAAGTAGTGTGTAACCTTTTTTCGTCTCGTAGCCTCTCCCTCTATTAAGTCCTTGGTCTAGTAAGAGCCTAGTTTAGAAATTAATATACGATCATTAATACCCTATGCGTACAATCAAACCGAAACCAGGATTTTGACTTCGCACAGGGCGTTGGGTGTTCGGCACCCACTGACCAAAAACACGTGAGCTCTGGGAACGAGATTGACGCGGTCGTCGATTTGAATACCAGCAATTTAAATGTCCCCCTAAACGTAGCTGTCCTTGCCCACTTGCACCAACAGGAGACAAAAGAAGACTATTCATTCTTTTCAATCCTGTATACCTGTTATGATCCTTGCGATCGTCTCCTCCTCCTAAGTAGAGGCGGGGAAGTAGGCCCGGGGGGGGGGGGGTACTCCCAGAAATGAACTTACCATTTAACTTCTAATGAAAATATTCCGGCACATTCTAAGAACCTTAAGACCTTTTTTTTCAAGTCTGTCACTTGTGCATGTAATTCATCTAGAAATGAACAGGTCATTAGCATGNTACTTCCAGAAAAATTGGGGCATTGAAATTACAGCACGTTGCGACGTGCATTTTTGCAGATTTTTTGAGCGGTTGACAGAGCAGGAATAATGTGCCTGTCTTTTAATGCGTCTCTGCGGCGCATAATTCTATTTTTATGTCGTCTGAAATTTATTTTCCCTTTATATTTCCCATGTTTGCTTTGCCTATTAATTCGTCTCATAAGTGATTTGTTTCCCAAGGTAAACAAGCCCAATAGTTGTTTTATCATGTCAGTGCTTGGAGAAATATTTCAAGGTCAAATCGCATTTTCTTTGGCCTTGTCCTCACTGGAGGCAACTTTGAAAGATGCGACTGCGACTAGTGTGAACGCAGAACTTTTGTTATGGTTGTCTTAATCCGGTGTAGACGCCAGGTGTTACAAATTCAGACAATTATAATTACATTTCATGCGTGACTGGTTGCTTGCAAAAGAAGCTCTCCTGAGGTCATTGAATTGCAAATTTTCAATTTGTTCCTAGCAACGCCGACAGCTCGCTGGTAGTGAGCACGAGAAGTTCGTAAACCTTTGTAATTACTGTACCGGCGACCTTCCACTTGATCAACAAGAAAAGAACACATCATTTCGGATTTAACATGGAAAAATTGACTCTTCTGACAACCAACATGGAGATGTACCGTCATCCGAGACATGTACCAGGGTAAGTGATAAGCGCTGAAGCACAAATCTATCGCGCGAGAAGTGTCAACATTCTAATAACGCTACCTCGAACACAACTCGCATCTCTAGGGCCAGGTCAAATCAATTATCTCGATATGCATGAAAAAACTGCCATTGATGGAAAGTACCTTAGCAGCTATATCATTTGTTCCTCACACTGCAGTTCTGGGGTAATGTTTTTCTGGTTAAATATTTTCAGACTTCTTTTAGTGGTATGCAAATTCATCAGAAGTTTTGTTACAACGTGCCATTGAATGAGCGTCAATTCATATGGATTGTAAAGTTCAAGGTTATAATGGCGAATTCAGTCATCTTATGGGCTCTCAGCCAAAATGTTATCCATAATATTTGAGATCGTTTGAACCCAATTTCCCTCAAAAAACCAAAATTTTATTTTGTTTCTAAGGATGGTATGCCTGATCACCCGCCGAGCGGGTAAAATGAGCCTGCGCTAAGATCTATCAATCAAACACCGCACACGTAAGAAATGACTCGATAAGCCAGACAGATTTGTACCTCTTTAAAACAACTATTGACCCTAACAATGCCTTGAGGAACCTTGATAAACAGAAATTTCTGTTATGATGCAAACAGTGGATTTCGGCTTTCGGCGCAGCCCCACGCTCCCTCTCGCTCCTCGCGCTTCTGTCTCGTTCTTAGCTGTTCTTCGCCCCGTTCCTTTGTATTTTAGAGACTTCTTTCGGCGTCCTAGTCGTGTAAAACTTTTGCTTAATATATTGATATATACTTTCCTTTATTTTTGATGGTGGGGTTTGCAAATTCTGCAGCTCAGGCTGTTTGCGAAAAACGAGGAATCTCACTACTTTCTTTTGTTTTGTTTTTTTCTTTTTTGCTTCGGAGCAGAACTTAACAAACTTTTGTTAGCACTTACGAACATACCAACGCGTTTTCACTGCGTTTTGAACATTTTTACGAATAATGGTAATAAGCATTTGCTTTGGGCTGCGAGACGGACGGATTGTCAAAATCTCATCCTTTCAGGTCTTTCAGATCTTTGTGAAAAAAGGACACGTTTTTTTTTCGGACTATAAAAAAGATATGTAAGTTAAATTGCTAAATAAGATGTGGCATTGGCTTGAAAATATCATGAACATATTTACTTTCTAGCCGAAAAATTTTGCCTACGATGGAAGATAAAAATTACGAGACCTACACGATGGCCAACTGACTGTACGACTCGATACGACTGATCTTTTTAATCAGTTTTGCCCCTTCACGTTCTAGAAACTGGACTAGATGATTCTCTTGCTTGTTCCATGTCCTTTCCAGTCAGGCTAGTTTTCTCTAGGAAGTTTGGGGAACGTGAAACACGACGTAGTACCTGTTTACACAAGTGACGCAAGAATAGGTGCAATCAAAAGAGTCCATTCAGCTATCCATTCAGACATTTAAAAACGCAAGCACAGGTACAAGGAACAAAAAACACTTTAATTGCTCATTGTGCCCACGTTTTTGTTCCTTACCGCGTTTCTCAGTCAGTGTTCGCAGAGAGTCTTGTGCTGCGTCGCTAGGGAGAACTAGGCTTCAGTCAATTGTTTTGATAAAAACCTGGACATTTTTTAATACTCTTACGCTGCGTTTCAAAATTTCTGAGTAAACTGCTGGACCAACATTCATACGTGCAAAACGTTCTTCACATCCCGGACTAGCTTATGCAGTTTCTATGAGTTGGTTGAAGTGTAAAAAAGATGTCCGAAAATCGTTATTCATTCCAGTCAGATGGTCGCCATAACTTGAACGTCAGAGGAAACCTGGAGACTAGTTTACCGAGAAAAGAGGAAGGGAAAAAAACCTTGGAGTAGAGTGAAGACCATTTCGTTCTGCCCGATTAATTTCTTTTAATTTACTTCTTTATAGTTACAGTGGATACACTCCGCGAGTAAAGTACACTTACGGTGAAACTTTTGGAAACACAACAGGCCGCTGGTTTCAAGATTATCGTGCCGCAGCACTGAACACAAGTAAAGAACGTATGGGGAGGGGTGGGGATAAATTTCTGCCCTTTCCAACTTACTACACGAACAACCCTGATCACGTATTAGGGGCACGCACAAGCTCACGTGATCGATGGCTTGCGGCACCTAAATACAAGCTTCTGAATCTTGACGACAGAGACGGAGCTATCAAAAAATACGATAAGGTATGTTTGCCTCGCCAGAAACATTCCTTAGCTTAAAATATCAATTCTCCTTACAGGTTTCCATACATTTCTTTTGATGTTACTTCCAATAGTTTAGAGGTGCATCAACAGAATTGCTTCTCATATATCTCTTTGTTGTCTTCATGTGATTGCTGAACAATTTAGACTTTGATAGTTGAATCTGTGAGAATTCGGGTGTTGATCACTTTAAGGATTCTTAACCCTTTGACCCACAAGGACGTATACACACGTCCTGAGTGGTCGAGCTCTTTGCACCACTTGTGACGTCATGAATTTAAAGGTCACCAGATATTCTGGCCTGATAGTAGAGCTAGGATCGATCTATCCTCACAACGGTCGGTTTTGGATATCGACGGCATTCTGACGTAGCAAATTGAAAAACAACGTTATCACTTTCGGTGCAAAAATGGTAGTAAAATGGCCCACTATACCTATAATTGATCAAGGTCCCATTTCTAGGCTTTGCCCATATAATTAACACCCAACTTTTTACGGCAGCCAGAAAGAATATGCAACGCAAAAGGTAGCAAGAGCAAAAGGGCCGACAAAAAGGAAAGGAAAGGGTCCAAATTTTGGCTTATGCGCATGCACCAAATTGAAATATTGCACATTTTTGTACCTGATCTTCGGGAAATCTATCTTTTTGGCAAAATAGCTTTTTCAGCAAAGCTGAGGCCCATTTAGTGTCATGACAGCTAAAAAACTGATTTAACGGTTAAAAATGGCATTTTGGGGTGAAAATGTGGTAGTCAAAGGGTTAATGGCTAGAGAATAGTTCTGATCTTAGCATTGCTAGCTAAGCGCAAGTGCTCCAAAATCCACCTTGCAGCACGAAAGGGAAAAAGAGAAAGTAAGCGCGAGAGTGCCCTGGAAACAACCTCAGACTCAGACTTCTCTCACACAGTGTTACCTCGTCACCAGGCGTCACTTTTTTCAAGGCGTCATTCCTTAGTCAACTGCGATAGCACACGCAATTCACCGCAGCAAATCTAAGGACAACCCCTGCACAAGTCTTACAGTCATAAGGCAGACACCAAACTGATCATTCTCTCTCACTGATTTGGCTTTGAAATTTTCTTTACAGGCTGCACAATATCACCGAGATCACTACAAAGACAGAACAGACACAGTCCCACCAGTGAGAATATTTATTCTACCAAAACTATTTCACGACACCAAGTCCCATAGAATACCAGCGTAAGTAATCGTTACAAAACTTAATAAGTATCTTCAAATGTAGAACTAGAATTTTTTTCAAAATTAAACTCAAACTTGAGCTAGAACACAAAGAACATTGGGAATAGAAAGAGTACATTATGATAAACACGATGGTAAACGACGCGAGGTGAGACGAAACAAAAGAGCAAGAGCGAAGACTGTTGAAGAACATCGGGGCTGACTCTGCAAACAGAACTTGATGCTTAGCACAAATTTCTCAAGATGCGCAATCCCTGACGAAGCTTGAGAGATACACAGATAGTAGCCTGGGTACATTCGCCCCCTCCCCTCAAAAAAAAAAAAGAAAAAAAAATAGAAGAGAGGAATTTATTTTACGGGGAGGGGGCGGATGTACACAGCCTACACAGAAGGTTAAGAGTATTTTTCCTTATTTCATTGTACGAATATGTCCACTTGATCCCGTGAATGATTGTAGTTATTTTTTGTTGTTTATGACCAGAGAGGGCAAGTCCATGAACGAAGAGAGAGCTTTAGCTTACGCCAACAAAGTCTACCGGACAATGAAGATCGAACCGCTCGCCAAGTCTTCCGTGGAAACACGCCGAATACGCGACGTGTTCTTCGAGAAAAGATAATCTGGGCTGAATATTAAATAAGTGTTTTGAATGGTCAATTAATTGTACATAGTTTAACTGATATTTTGGTTGTTATTTATTTGAGTGAGCATTAAATGAGTTTTGAAATAAATTTGTTAACAAAACATCAGTGTTCTGCGTTTCGTTCCTATTTTCGCTCGTATGCGCTAAAATCTTTTTCATCTGGACACTGAGGGTGCGTTCCTTTGGGGTGATCTGCAGCAGGGTCAGTGATCCAAGATCACTCGGTTCATAGTTCATCAAAGGAACCGATGAATCCGTGACCAGAGTGAATTCGTCGGTTCCTTTGATGCAACACGATCCGAGTGATCTTGGATCACTGATCCTGATCCAGATCACCCCAAAGGAACGCACCCTGCACCAAGGAGAACTGGCAAGGTTAAGAAGAGATCTGACGTAGAAATTTTAACATTCTCATGTTTTTGATTCATTTTAGCACCATTTTCCGATCATCTCTCCGAGATTTCATAGATGTAAAGTAAATATGCCGTTATTTGGGTGTCATTTGCATACGCACAGCGTGGGCAACCAATCCACTGAAACCAGAAACAGCCGTTGAACCAAGGGCAAAGGCTCAAAAGCGAAAAACTAATCAGTTAACAGCGGAGCTCCATGGCCCCAAAGGGTCGCCAAGCAGAGCACCATAACTATAAGATCAGAACCACATGCTTGCATAGAAATACAAAACTATGCAACTCTTCCTTTCATGGTCAAGGTGGCTAGATCGTGGATCGCGGTTTTC